GGTGTACAGCATCCTTAATAAGATTTATTGTAATATCAACAATTAATGGAAATTCTTCCAGCAATAATACAATATTTGTAGAAAATTCATTTAGATTCAATAGTTGTTTGTAAAATTTTAGATGAACTTTTTCTGTTGATGTTTTGTCTCATTTAGTGTTAACTAAGATTTCCATTCCCTAAATTTCTGCACCATATAATAAGACAGGTTTTACACATGTCTTGAAAATATGGATAACTACTGTTTTACAGTCAGTTTCTTTTGGCATGTATTTTGACATAGATTATACAGCTAAGGGTGCTTTATCTGGCACATTTTCCCATGCTTTGTTGAATTTACCATTTGCCTGTATTGCTCCATTTTTTTCTTTTGCCTTAAATGATTTTCACATATATGTACATAAAGCTGGGAGCAAACTAAGAATTACACAATTTATATAAAAAACAAAAACAAATAAAAAAACATTAATATAAAAGCATGAGCTCTATCCATTTTTCAGATATGTGGTAAGAATTCAAAATCCAGGCTAACTGAAGACATCAGAGAATAAAAATTATCTGGTTTTTGGGCTAACAAACCATTTTATTTGTATTTGTTTTAAACACAAGGTGTATTTACACATACAATGTCAGCTGTGTAAATATGAAAAATAAAAAATGTGTACGATACAATTAAATTAAAAGATATTAAGAATGACATTGCGCTGTTTCCATGTGCGACATTAGTGGATCATTGCACGAGTCCCACACCCCAGCTTTTGCGTACATAGAACATTGAACACACGCCATGATTGGCCACCACCTCGAGCAGAACGTGGGCACACACAAAAAATACAGGTTCACAGTTATGACATTATAAGGTCTTAATGATTTTACTGTTTAATCGTTATCGGACAGTTATTTCAAGTGTGTATTACATAAAAACACGATAACATGCTTGACACGCCATTTGGTTGTGACAAGTTGCTACAGGCACTGACCCATTGTACTAATATGTAAACAATGCAATGTGTTGTCGTTCCCGAGAACAAGACATCGCCCAGGGTCACAGCACAAATCAAAGCTCGGGTATACTCGATAAAACGTAAGCCTTCACGACTTTGAAACAAGACGAATAATTTTCCATCACATACCTGTAAACATCTACGACATCTGGACAGGTCGCTGGTGGTCCAATCCTCCGAAGTTGGTATTTACAAACCTCATTTGCCATCTGGACTTTTTTCAGTGGGAAATTGAAACTGGCGCCATTTAATCTGAGATCACGCAATTTCTCGCGGTAATTGGACTGTATTTTACGGCCACGCATTCGAAATCAGTTTTTATTAATTTGTTGCAATTTAAATTCACGAGGAGTGATACAATCATAAAAGTTATTTAAATACGTATATTATTGCATATCTTCACTTTTCTGACATTTTCATTAAATTACCCTTATATATTTGACCACACAGACTACAAATGCGAACATAGTGTCAGTGTCAATGAAATTGAACGGTACTATGGAAGTACAGGGACAAAATACATACGGAACATCATTCAACGGCGAGCTGCAAAACGGAGCAACTGAACAAGATACTATGCCCGAGATGAAAATAAACATGAATTCCCAAGTAGATAAGCAGAGATCAAGATATCCTTATTCTATTGTTTGGACACCAATTCCCATGCTCACGTAAGTGACTGATTTTAGTGTTTTTTTTTTCAATTTAATATTTTTGGGTGATTCACAACAAAAAATGAGAGAGAATTATACAGACGAAGTGATTCATTGTCAGTGATTCATCATTCCGTTGATTTCAAAGAAAACATTTCCTGAGATTAACATAGAATAACAAGTTTAATAAGCGGCCCAAATAGGAACATTGCAATATGACGAGACACTTTCTTATACGCTCTGTCAAATGATTCAATGTTATGAAAACGAATTGTTTACATTTTGTGACAATCTCACTTCCCCTGGTACCACTTAATTTTGGACTTATTAATTTTTTGTGTGGGTACGTATTGTAACCCTTTTCATCCCCTCCGGGGGATGTTGTGTGTTAATAAATAAATAAATATGACTCAGTTGTCTGTTTGCAACAATTTGAATCTTGTGAATATACAAAACGAGTTGTAATTTATCCGTACGAATCTTATTGGCAGTCGCTTCATTCGTCTAGGGAAGTTGGAAGGAAAACAAAATGACAACGACTTGTGTTTATATACTGGTAATGTGGTGGTAAATTTATAGGAAAAAATATATAGGAAATATAGGAAAAAAAGTATATTCGCTGGATTTTATTTTCACGGAATCATCCCTTCAGCGAAAATAGCAAAAATAAATTCCAAGCGAAAATGAAGTATTCTCCAGTATATATAGTACAACTGTAATAAAGCAAAAATTAGTGTATTGAGTTTATGTAATAACAAAAGTCCCTTTATCATGCTGGTAGATATGATAGAAGTGATCAACTGTGACCATAACATTGATTGTTGGTTTTATCTTGATGTTCTTTCAGATGGATCTTTCCTTTTATTGGTCACATGGGAATATGTATGTCTTCAGGAGTTATCAGAGATTTTGCTGGGCCTTATTATGTATCAGTAAGTACTGTCACAAAAATAATTTTGAAAAATTTCTTAAGTCAGTATGATTTGTGGGAGGTGAAAGTCACAGGCAGTCTTTACGTTGCTTGGTTTGTGGTTTTGACATAAATCGCCCCTAGAACCAAAGTCGCCCTAAGTTGTACGCTCCTAGAACTAAAAAAAATAGGCAAGGTAGGAAAGCTTCGTCCGTCAAAATAAATTTGTTACACATTGTATCTAGCAATGGGACATTCCACTTTATATCTGTACTCCCTAATTGATTAATCTCTACTTCGTACTGGATCATCTGCAGCTTTATTTCCAACCAGCAAGAGTGAAAATCAAAGCTAGTCATAACATTGGTAGTATCATGGAATTCTTTGCTCACATGTACTGGCATTTCTTTTTTGATTAATGTCTGTCATCCAGACTCATAACCACCAGGTATGCGTATAAAAGTTAGAATGACCCAAAAAGACACACAAACAATATTTCTCACTCAAAACACATAAAGTGTTGTGCTTTGTACACAGGAGGATTGTATGGGTTTTGGTAACCCCACCAGATATTTACAGTTAAACCCATCCAATACAAGGAAAGAAAGCTGGGACATAGCAGTGTCATCAGCTTCTGAGGAATACAAAAACAGAATGGTAAGTTTGTCTGTTTCCATGGCAATGACAAAAGAGTTGTGTGTTTGGCTTTATTGAATTTTGTTATTGTTATACAATTTTTATTGAGCTGGATTTAAAAAACAAACAAGTCATTGTCAATGACACGTCCCCGTTCCGTTCATATTTGAGTGACATATACATTCAAAGCAGATCATGACCGAAATGCACCTGCATATGTACAACACATTGTTCTAAATCTGAACAAAATCCATCCATGCATGACTGAGATCAGGTTCCGGAATTGTGAAAATACTGA